GCAGGGTTGGGGAGAGAAATTATAGGGAGTGAGGTGAGTTGAGGTCAGTCACAAAGGAGCCTTGTAAGCCATGTTCAATGTTGAAGAATCTGAACTTTAGAGTGACATGGAAGAATTTTATTAGGATACGATAGGGTTATATTGGCATTTTAGAAAGATCGGGCTTTCATGTGGAGACTTGGGTTGGGGGTGCAAGATTGGAAAGCAGTGAAGAAGCTTTTGCAGTCATTAGGAGAGAGGTGATGGTGTCCTGAACAGGGAAAGGGCTGTAGGGATGAGGGAGGTGGGAAGATTTGGGGCTGATGTAGAAGTGGAATCAATAGCTGAAGTGCAGGAGAAGAGGGGTGAAGGGGAGGCCTTGGATTTGTGGGTCAAGCAACTGAGTGGAGGGCTCTGTTTACCTGCTCAGGCGTGGCAGGAGGAGTAAGTTTAGGGGAAAGACAATGTGTTCAGTTTTGGACACAGTGAATTTCAGGGGTCTGTAGAACACCCAAGGGGAGAAGTTCAGAAGGCATTTGGATATTAGTCTGGTGTTGGCGAGCACGAGGTTGGTGATGTTGACTCAGGAGTCATGAGCATGTAGGTGTTACTTGAAGTCCTGGTAATGGAAAGTTGAATGAAAAATTATCCCTGGGCCAGGCATGGTGGCTCACACCTGTAATCCCAGGAGTTTGGGAGGCCAAGGCAGAAGGACTACTTGAGCCCAGGAGTTCAGGACCAGACTGGGCAAGATGGCGAGACCATATCTCTACAAAAAAATTTTAAAAATTAGCTGGATGTGGTGGCATGTGCATGTGGCTATTTAGGAAGCTGAAGCAAGAGGATCTCTTGAGCTCAGGAGTTTGAAGTGGCAGCAAGCTATAATTGCATCACTGTGCTCCAGCCTGGCCAACAGAGCAAGACCTTGTCTAAAAAAAAAAAAAATTCCCTGCTCCCGAGTAGTTAAAAGTTTAGTGTAGGGAGGGGGTTAGGCATGCAAGAAACAATTGGAGTTCAAGGTGAACTGTATAACACAGAGGTAGGTACGTAGAGGGCTCAGTGGTGGGGCAAGGCCTGGAGGGTCAGAGAAAGCTTTGGAGAAGAAGGGCTGAAGCTGAGTAAGAGCTTGGCAGGTAGACTGGGGAAGGACAGGGTGGCATCCACTAAAGCAAAGGAGAAGGAAGGCAGGTGCAAAGGCACGGAGATGCCACAGCAGCAGTGCCCAGCCAAGGAAGTCCTGTTTTCTAGAGCATTTCAGTGTGCTCATCTAAGGAAGAGGCAGCAGATGCACTTGAGATCTTTGAGGAAACACCTGTCCATCAACATCTGTGCAGTGCATGCTGAATACCCATGGCCTAGCTTTACACAGATGAAGAGTTCATGGCAAGGTGGTATTAAAAAATAAACTCGACATTTTATTTTCTTATTTTTTTTTTGTTTGTTTTTTGAAATGCAGACTCCCTCTGTCACCCAGGCTGGAGTGCAGTGGAGTGCTTTCCACTCACTGCAACCTCTGCCTCCCGGGTTCAAGTGATCCTTCCACCTCAGCCTCCCAAGTAGCTGGTATTATAGGCACCCACCACCGTGCCCAGCTAATTTTTCTATTTTTAGTAGAGATTGGGTTTCGCCATATTGGCCAGGCTGGTCTCAAACTAGTGACCTCAAGTGATCTGCCTGCCTTGGCCTCCCAAAGTGCTGGGATTATAGGCTCTGCACATTGTCAAAATAAATAAATAAATAAACATTTAATAAATTATTTTAAATCATTTTTTCAAACACATAAAAATGTACAGAAAATAATACAACAAATCCATGTGTTATTTATCAACCAGATTCAATAATTGCTAACATTTTGCCAATATTTGTTCACTAATTCATTTCTCCCTTTTTGGATGGCTAGGGAAGTAATTTAACTTTACATTATGAAGACAGTAGACAGAAGAGTATAATGAACCCTCACCTACTCATCACCTAGTCCCAAGAAATATTGACCCAAGGCCATTCCTTCCCTATCCACTCCCCATCTACTTACTCCCCTCCCATATTACCTTGAAGCAAATTCATGACACCACATCATTTCACCTGGAAATATGTCAAATAATGTATCTCTAATAGATAATGACTTTAAAAATACAACTGTAATATTGTTGTCACCTGCAACAAGATGAACATTAATTTTTCAGGTGGTGTTTTGAAAACTCTGGGAAGGTGTTTGGTAAAGCCAGAAAATCCTGAGATCCTGTATAAATGGGCTTCAAGAAGCCATCCATATAGAACCGATGCCTTCAACAAGACCACACTGCAGAAGCCAGGGTGATGGGGTGGAGAAGGAGCCAGAGTGAATCAGGGACATGCAGGGTTGCAGTGTAGGAGGCTGGGTCAGAGATTTAGCCACCAAAAGAAGGGGTTGTGGGTTGCAGGGGAGCTTCCTCAGCCCCACTCAGTGCTCCATCAGGTAGGAGGCAGTCCTCCAAAGGAGAAAAAGTGAAGAAGGGATGGAGCAGGGAAGAGAGAGAGAGGGAAGTGTAAGGAGAGAGAGGAGCTGATATTGAGGAAGAAAAAGAGGAAGAGGAGAGCAAAAATAAATAACGACTGAGCACCTACAACCAGCTAGATGTCAGGGGCACTGCCTCTGCCCCCTCCAGGAGAGGGGCTCCCCCAAACAAGCCTGGCCTCTTGCTCACCCTCTCAGGGAGTAGCTCTATTGGTGGGTGCAGGTTAGGGACAGGTACTGTATATATGAATGTATAACTGCTTTTATGAGGAAGGAGGGCCATGTGTCTTTGGCAGAAAAGGGGCAGGGCTCCACCCCGTGCCTTGGCAGAGTCAGGGTGGTATCCACTAAAGCAAAGTAGAAGAAAGGCAGCAGAAATGAAGGGGGTGGTCCTCTTATTGGAGCGGTACAGCAAGGCAGCAGTCTCCCCGGAGGGTCTGGTGGCAAGCACACTCCTAGTGCCCTCCAGCTTTATTTTTGGCAGGGCAGGAAATTGTGTGTGTGTGTGTGTGTGTGTGTGTGTGTGTGTGTGTGTGATGACCTGGGGAGGAGGGGAGGTAGGGCAAGGGGGTCCCTGAGTTTTGGCAAATCTGCGGGAGCTTGCAGAGGGGCTTCCGGAGACCCCAGGGCAGGGGTAGGGACGGGGGCAGCCCCGAGTGGTGCAGGGTGCAGCTGTTGCAAATGTGGTCATGTCCAACTCCTTCCCAGCTGGAAACGCTGCAGCAGGTGGTGTCACCGATGGACAGGGGAACTTCAGGCCAGAGAGTACCTTCCTCCAGGGCTTTAGGGGAAAAGGGCAATGGGGCCATGGTGGTCGGTGCCCTGGATACCCTGAGGGACCATGGGCCCCTACTTCTACATGAAGACCTGGGCCTAGGCCCTCCCAGGGTCTTCTAGTCCCATCTCTGCCAAGTGCCGATCTAATAACCCAGAGGAGAACAGGGTCGCCGTGGTTAGAGACCTTGTTCCCCTCCACGCCTGACTCCACAGTGACTTAGTTACTTAACCACCCATCTGCTGATTTGAAGTCTTGAGTGCACATTTGCAGAGCTTCCTTCCGGGACTTCGTGGCAGGGATTGCAAGAGGCCCCTGGTCTGGCAAGGACCTGACCTAGGGAAATTCTGTCCTTTGTGACTAGAAAAGGCATAAATTGGAGGTGAGCCTCCTTGGTTAGAATGGGCACAATGGCTGGTGGCCACGAGACCCAGAAGAGGTCACTGGCGGTGTTGCTTCCAAGACAGCGAGCCAATGTTGGTGAGACTACAGAGAAAGAGGCAGACCAAGCTAATCCGAGCTGGGACTTGTCTTCATATGCAGACGGTAATAATAGCAGTTAACCCCCTGAGCCCTTCTGACATGCTGATTGCTGTTCCAAGCCCAGCTCTAATGCATCTAAGGCATGTTCTAAACATGCACTATCTAATAACGTTATTTCCAATTCTACAGATGAAGAATGAGAGCCACTAAGAGATGACATCACTTGGCCAAGGTCACACAGCTTCTGGGGCCAGGCTTCTATTTTCCCTTTGTGAAGAACAGGGAACATGCTCTGCACTTTTCTAAAGTAGAAAAATGAGCTGATGTCAGGGATTCTTTCAAGAAAGCAAGTTTCAGAGCTGTTGCTGAGATCACCACCCATTCAGCAAAAAGTCCCAAACGCTGAATGCACTTCTGAGTCTCTGGTTTCACTTTGCAGCTCTCGGCATAACCGATGCTCACAATAATGACCTTCAACCACCAAGGAAATGCTCACTTATATTTTGCAAGCTCTGTTTAATGGATGAAGGAGTAACAAGTTTTAAAAAAGATTCTGATCAACATGGTGATTCATGCATGTAATCCCAGCACTTTTGGGGGCAGGTAGATCACTTGAGGTCAGGAGTTCAAGACCAGCCTGGTCAATATGGTGAAATCCTGTTTCTACTAAAAAATATAAAAATTAGCCATGCGTGCTGGTGGGCACCTGTAGTACTAGCTACTCAGGAGGCTGAGGCAGGAGAATTGCTTGAACTGGTAGGTAGAGGTTGCAGTGAGCTGAGATTGCACCACTGCCCTCCAGCCTGGGCAACAGAGTGAGACTCTGTCTCAAAAAAAAAAAAAAAAAAAAAGATTTTGTTCAAAACCAAATCACTAAAGTTAAGATTAAAAGAATTAACCCTGTCTTTGCAAAGCTTGTCTACTCTGGTAATTCATGTCAGGGACACTTAGCTTTAAAATTGTCCCCTCTATAGGGGTTTTGCTCTTATGCCACAAGTATTGCTGCGTGTCTGCGAAACAGGAAGGAGCAGCGTCTCCCCACTATTTCCCAAATGGGTACCTCGAAGATGGTGGAGTTCATGTGGTGAAGTTCTCTTTCTTCCACTGGCCTAAGTCTGAAATTCCCCAAACGCTTGGAGCTTTGCAGTGCTGGGCAGCTGGCAGTTTCCCCAGCAGTTGCCCTGGCATCTTGCCTTCTTTACACAAAGCAATCACTGTTGCAGAAAATGAGGGTCCTGTGATCGTTTGGCACCACCCCTTGCTTGGCATTTGCTGGGAGAAGCAACTTTCTTTCTCCCTGACAATAGATTCTGATCACAAACCAGGCCCCTTTCAGAGAAATAGATCTCATGGAATGACTCTGCCCAGAGGTAAGAACTGAGGGGCACAACAGAAGTGATTTCCTGGGGAGGTCTGTTGTTGCCACTGAGAAATCAGGAGAAGTCCTGGAAAGGCTCATACAGCATCCCACTCTCCAACCTCCTGGCATTCATGCTCAGTCGGGCCCCTATCCTTGAATTTGATACAAACAGTGGCATATCTGGTCCCTGGTCAGTGGGACAGGCACCATATAGTTTAGAATTCCAGCCTTACCTCAAAATGCAGTTATAGGCTGGGTGTTGTGGCTCAAGCCTGTACTCCCAGCACTTGGGGAGGCCGAGGCAGGCAGATCTCCTGAGGTTGGGAGTTTGAGACCAGCATGGCCAATGTATTGAAACCCCATCTCTACTAAAAATACAAAAATTAGCTGGGCATGGTGGTGCACACCTGTAATTACAGCTATTCAGGAGTCTGAGGCAGGGTAATCACTTGAACCAGGGAGGTGGAGGTTGCAGTAAGCTGAGATTGTGCTATTGCACTCCAGCCTGGGTGACAGAGTAAGACACTGTCTCCAAAAAAAAAAAAAAAAAAAAAAGCAAAAATGCAGGTATAGTGCTCCTTTCTTTCTTACAAGTGACATTTCCTTGAGTTTCCTTGCTATGAAATTAACACTGGTACAATACTATGGATTTCTCCAGTTTTTCTGCTCTGTCCTTTTTTTGTTCCAGGATGTAAGCCAGGGTACCATATTGCATTTACTTGTCATGCCTCCTCTCACCTGTGAAAAGTTCTTTGTTCCTTATTTTTTATGACCTTGACACTTTCAGGTATTTTATTGAATGTTTCAGGTATTTTATTGAATAGTTTCTCATAATTAGACAAGGGTTATAGATTTTTTAGAAGAAAAGTCCTTTTTTTCTTTGCATGCTATAAAGAGGTAAATGATATAAACATGACTTATCAATGGTGAAGTTAACTTTGATTGCATGGTTAAGGGGGCTCTGCCAAGTTTCTCCACTGTGAAGTTATTATTTTCCCCTTTCTATATTCTACTTATTAGAAGTGAGTCACTAAGTCTAGCCCATACTCAAAGGGAAGGAAATGAAACTACTTCCTGGAGAAGGGAGAATCAACATATATATTTTAGAATTTATCTATAAAGAAAATTTGTCTCAGGTGGGGCATGGTGGCTCATGCCTATAATCCCAGCACTTTGGGAGGCCAAGGCAGTTGGGTCACTTGAACCCAGGAGTTCAAGACCAGCCTGGGCAACATGGCAAAACTCCATCTCTACAATAAATACATTAGCTGGTCATAGTGGCACCTGCCTGTAGTCCCAGCTATTTGGGAGGCTGAAGTGGGAAGATGGCTTGAGACAGGGAGGTTGAGGCTGCAGTGAGCTGTGAGTGTGTCACTGCCCACCAGCCTGGGCAACAGAGTAAGACCGTATCTTGGGGGGACAGAAATAAAAAGAAGAAAGAAAAGAAAATTTGTAGAAAAGAAAATTTCTCTGTAGTTCATATATTTATTTATATTGGCATGGACACTCATGGATATTTATTTTATTCTTTGAGTTATGAGAATCATGATGGTTGGCTGGGCACGGTGGCTCATGCCTGTAATCCCCGCACTTTGGGAGGCTGAGGTGGGTGGATCACCTGAGGTCGGGAGTTCGAGACCAGCCTGACCAACATGGAGAAACCCCATCTCTATCAAAAAAAAAAAAAAAAAAAAAGAATCATGATGGTTATATATCATCCAATCCTTTCATTATTTTGTTGCTCAAATTGTTCTAGCCTTGCTCATTGGGAACTCTTGGTTCCTTTTGACATGCCCACATTAAAAAATGGATACATAATGATGCACATAGTTTTGCAGCACCCGTTTTTTTTCTGTTTTCTTACTTTCTGGCATTACAAGGTGCTCCAAGCTCACCTTATGTTTTTGCTGCTTTAGCCCCAGACTCAGTTATTTCTCCAAGGAGTCCTGCTTCCTTTGATCACAGGATGATATTTAGAAACCACGTTTCTGTGTTGGGTGTGCTTGTTGCTACTGGGGTGTCATTGCTTCTAGGCCCTGTTAGTGAACAGTTGGGAATATTTACATATATTTATGTATACTAACCCATGCATATGTCCATATCTATGTTTGTGTATCTATCTGTATATACTTTTAAAAAGAGTTTGTATTATCTCTGACTGTAATCCAACTGCACAGGTTTTATTCTAGCCTTCCCCCTTTTCTCATTGTCACTTTTATCTCTGATGGTGAGTAACTTGTTTATTTAAATATTTGTTCAACCCCAGTATATAAGTAAAGTAGTTTCAGAATCACCAATCTAGTCCCCTTTGAGAAATAACTTTATCAGCTATAGTGTTTTGCATGGTTCTTTTGTCTTTAGCCTTATAGATTCCATTCAAACACATCGTTTTCCATTGTGTGTGAAATTTGTGACAGTGAAATATAAAAGAAAAAAAAAACCCATCATTTTCCAAAATTACTTAGGTCTTTTTATTTTCTTCTTGATGGGCACATCTTAATATTTCCAACGCATTTCCACATCTGGCTTCTCCTTCTTTCATATCATTGTTGGATCATGACATGTGAAGGTTGAACTGGTTATCTCAGGTCATATGATCAGCTGGATCATGATTAGAACTACTTTGGGCTGGACCATACCACCCTTCCAGGAGTTGCTGTTTTCTTGGTGAGTCTGGGCTGCAAAGCCAGCCATTGCAGAGAATGTCTGGTGAAAGCAGAAGGTTAAGTATGGCTAGGCAGCTCTGTATTTTTTGGTTAGGCAGAATTGTCAAATGTCAGTGGGAAGGAGGATTAGAGATCTCATGGCTCAGCTCACTTTCCTTATAGATGGGAAAACTGAGGCCTAGAGAGGTGATGTACCTTGTCCAAGATGAACTAGTTGACTAGAGCCATGAGTGGGCATAGGATGCAAGACGCTGTGCTCCCATATCTGTGCTCTTCCCACCGCACTGCATGAGGGGTAAGGGGTCACAGGTCTGCAGAGAACGACTCTTTGAAATTGTTTCAACAGGGCTGGGAGAATTTGCCATCATTCCCTAAATAGAAAGGTTCTTTCATACCTTAAGCATTCTGAAGTGGTCAGAGAGCTAATTTAGAAATGCCTGATGGGTCTGGAAATTTGCTTCCCACATGTTGCAACAGTAATGATCTCATCTAAAAGTGGTGACTTGAGGGATGTTGTGAATTCCAGAGCTGCCATTTTTAAGTGTGTCATATCCTCTCTTAATTGTCACCCTCTAGCATCTACAAAGCTGAGGATAGTAGTGTCTGTCCTGTTCAGGTCTTGGAGTTATTTTAAGGCTCCTTACTTAACTGTAAGAAAGGTATCAAAGCTTTTTTCTTTCCTTTTTTTTTTCTTTCTATCTGCTGGTTTCCTTATCTCCAGTATAGTGCATAGAACACAGTAGGAATCCAGTACATATTTATTGGATGAGTGAATGAAGAATCATATGAGATCCTTCAGGCAAGAGTACACTGTCATCTCTTAAAGCACTATACAGATGTAAGGGACTGCTAATGGCATTAACTGACACTGAATTAGGGCAAGTTGCTTACCCTCTGTGGACTTCTGCATCCCATTTTCCATAGAAGATTGCTCCAGGCTCATCTTGCATTTTGGACTAAAGTTGATGATTTCTAAGGTCTTTTTCAGATCTGTAATTGCAGTATATACTTATTATCAAGACTATTTGTGAGGGTTTTCTGATGGTTTAGGATATAATCTTATCACACGCCATCATGGACTAGAGCAGGGATGTTTTCATCACATGCTAAATTCTTTGCACGTGTGATTTCTGGTTGATTGGTAGTGGTTGCCTGGAATGCAATGTCGAGAAAAACTTGGAGGGTCAGTGGTATAGTGATGATTAGTGACTAGTGATGGGTAGAATGATTGATTCGTGATGACTGTCAGGAACACAGAATATTAGGTAGTTGCAAGCATGCCAAATATCTGCCATCTCCCACCTAGATGCTTGAAACTGTGTTGCCCTGGAATTTCTGGGAGCAATGTTATTATTTTCTTGATTTTGCATAATAATGGAGAGCGATTGCTTGGATGAAGCCAGGGTTTGCTAGAGGTAAACAGATCCTTATAGGCTTGTAGTAAGACTTGTCACCCTTCTGCTTTTGATTGTCTCTTTTTTGAAATTTATCAGGCAAATAAAGATGAACATGTTCGACTGATGGATGAAAAGCACATCCAGGCCCAGGATTCCTTCTACTACTCTGGGACTCAAGCAGATACACGGCGCTTCTGTTCTTGAGGAAATTGAGAATGTAGAAGGATGCAAACATTCTAGACATAAACACGAACCCATTCATCCAACAGGTACATGTTGAATACTTATAGTATGCTAGGCAGGCCCAGATAAATGGCTTGGCCCTGAAGATATAGGTGATATTTTTGGAATAAAGGTCTTCTCCCTTTCTCTTGTTTCCTTAACACTGGCAGTCAGATCATTGACTGATCAGTATGTGCGGGTTCATGAGCTTTCTGAATGTAACCATTGTTTTCTCTAGTCTACCCAAGCGATGAGGAAATAACAAGTTTTGGGTCTGATTTCCAGAATTCTTGATAGAAATACACAAACGAGCCTCCTAAATCTCTTGTTGCACATAGAAAACAAGGTAGCCAAGGAGAGACCTTCATGGGTCATTAGGTACCGTCCTGCTGCTCAATGTACTTTTAAAACCCAAGGAGGCCATGAATGTGAGGATGTTCTCCTTCATCCCTGCTTACCTGGAAATGTGGAGAGATCTCTGACTATTGATTTGGGGGTCATGGGTGTTGTTCCCCTGCTGCCATTTCTTCATGGCTGGCCAGAAATGTATCACAATGGAGGACTGACATGACAACCCCTGTCCTTCTCCTTCTTCTAGTGGGTCCTCCTTTGCCCTAGTGACACGAGATTCCATTTACCTTCCCTCGGGAATGGTCTTTCTCCACTGTCCAGGCAGTCCTTGAAGAGGCCACACCAATTAACTGAGTGATTACTTCAGGACTTGAAAGAGCTTTTCTCCTGCCCCAGATATGACACAGTCACTTCCTCAATAGAGCCATCAGTCCAAGAGGAACAGGACGTCCTTGTAACGGAGCCAGGAAAGTCACATGATCAGACAGCTGGGGGCCTCCCGGGACCTTGTTTCCCCTTAAGCTATTGGCAACGACTTGCCTATGAAAGCCTGTCTATGAGAGGCCCTGGGCAAGCCATCCAAACCTACCCTCCTATAGGGTTTCAGTCCCGAGCAATTTCTGCAGGGAATAGACATTTGACGAATGAATGACAAGCAGGGTGATTGGGGAGGATTTCTGTGAAATATCTTTGGTGACCACATAGAAATAAACCAAGCATTCACAGGCTTCCACACTGGAGGTCAGGAATCTCCATGATCCCATTATCTTTATCTTCACTGGCATCCTTAAAGGATGTCATAAAGTTTGGACAAGCAGCCCAATTTGCTGATTGGGGAATCCCTTGACATAGGCTGGAGCCAGCTAGAATAGAGAAACAGGGAGGAAAGATTTTCCTTAGATTTCAGGGTCAGGCAAAAGAGGAAGATATTTATGAAGGCTGAACCTCAGCCCCAGCCCCAGCACCAGACCCCCAGACCTCAGAGACTCATGGTCAAGTTTTATTGGGAAGTGACTGAGCACTGCAAGGGAAAATATGATTTAGGCATTTATGCAGGAGCAGGGGTCGGGGAGCTGAGAAAAGTCTTTAAGAGACCTAAAGAAGGGGAAAATTAGCTGAGTCAGAAGCCAACAAGAGGAACCTGAAGGAGAGGAACTTGGTGTGTAGAGTCACAGGCAGCCTCATGTTGGGAGAGAGAGTTGGGTATTTTTAAAATCTTTAATGTCTGGTGCCATGAAAGTCTTTAGGAGACATAAAGTCATTCTATATTTATTTCCTAAAACCTTCCAGTCAACTAAAAGTCACCTTTGGGATGAATGGGAGAATCCCTTTTAAATTGAATTAAGTTTAATTTGGTTTAAGACAGTGTTTCCCTCTGTCACCCAGGCTAGAGTGCAGTGCTGCCATCTTGGCACCCTGCAGTGGTGCAACCTCTGCCTTCCAGGCTCAAGTGATCCTCCTGCCTCAGCTTTCTGAGTAGCTAGGGCTACAGGTGCAAGGGTGAGGTCACTACACTCAGCTAATTTTTATTTTTTTTTAGAGACAAGGTCTCACTCTGTTGCTCAGGCTGTTCTTGAATTCTTGGGCTCAAGCAATCCTCCCACATCAGCCTCCCAAAGTGTTGGGATAGCAGGTGTGAGCCACCACACCCAGCCAGAATCCCTAATCACACTAGAAAAAACTTCCAGAATACCAGGAATTTTCCATGGGCATCTGGTCTTGCTGCTCAACCTCTTCTCTTTTCTCCAAGAGTACAATAGCAAATAAACCCAAAGGCTCCAGGGCTTTTGACCTGTGGAAGAATTGAAGCTGGTCATCACACAGGTAAGATTGCACAGTTTCAGTTTATGTCTAGGACATGGAGGAAGCTACCTGGCCAAATGGTGGACATCAGGGTTGCATTGGCTAGAGTGTACATTTGCAGTCAATAGAGTTCACTCTAGCAAGTTTAAGAAGGGGTTTATTTGGGGATATTGGGAAGATCACAGAATTGTCAGAAGAGCTGAAGGAACAAGTTTTCAGCTGAACTTCCATGAACAGTTTCCAGAGACACACTGCAGGACTGGGTTGATAAGGAGTTGTTACCACTGCCAACCATGAACCAATCACACTTGTCTCTGCTGCAGGCAAAGAGCTGCCACTGCCACCACCAGCCCCAGACACCTGCTGCACCTGCTGCCATCTGGGCCTGCACCCCTTCTGTTTCCTCATGTAGCTCACTTCCAAAGCAAAGTCTCATGTGGGTGCATCTAAATGGCAAAACCTAAGCCACGTGTCTCTACCCAGCAGCAAGCAAAGCTGAGAAATGTCTACCCACACACATACGCAGAGAGACACAAATTCAATGTGAATATTCTTAAAATGTGGAGAGATTATGCAAAGGCTTTTGGAAGTCAAGAATGACAGATACCTATTCCAAGACGTCTGTGAACTATGACCTGAGATGCTCAGGAAAAGGTGGTCTATGGAAGGTACCTCACTGTGTGGGTGAAGTGAGAGTCCCTGGTGGACTTCCCTCAATAGCATCAAGCTCAGTTTGTCTTAGGCAAAATGGAGAAGTAAGAAATGCTTGTGTTCTAGGTTCTTCACTCAACCAAGCAAAACTGTTATTACCATTTATTTATTTTTAAGATTCTTTCAAAAAGATTTGAGTCAACCAGGGTATTGTTTTGCATACTAAGTACTAGTCAATTCTGGGCATCATGAAAGACACAGTTACCCATATGACCTCTGGTCTTGAAGGGGAACCATGAAAACACACTAATGCCATTGTTATAAACATACAAAGTCCTATATGATGAGCACCAAATGAATGGCATGGACAAGTGATCACATTGCTCAGAGGAGAGCTGTGGTTTGGGGTAGTCAGGGTGGCTTTTTGGAGGAGGCAGGACCAGAGGTAGGTCTTGAACAATGGGTGGAATTTAGACAGATAGTGAAGAGGAAAAAGCAGTCCTGGGGGTAGAAATGAGGTGAGCGATGCCTGGAGTGATGGAAGGTGTGACTATAAATGAGCTCAATGGGGATGGACAGTCAGTTCTAAGTCTAGAAGTAGTGCAGGGTTTGAATAGAAGAATTGTAGATGAAAGCAACCAAAACTAGAATTGGGATCATAGTTTGGACAATCTTGGTTGCCCCATGAATTAGTCAGGACTGTTTTAGTTTCAAGTGATAGAAATCCGCTTCAAATTTACCCAAGATAAAATGGAATTTATCATTTCATCTAGTTGAAAAGCCCAAGGGCATGAGTAAGACACATGGCTGGATCCAGGTGCTCAGAAGACATCATCAGGGCTCAGTCTCTTACCATCTCTCAGCTCTGGCTCATCTGTGTTGATTTCATTTCTCAGCAGGCTTTCTCCATGTGGTGGTCCCTGGCAACTCTAGATTTACGTCATCTCAGTTCAGCAATCTCTTGCCAAACATTTCCAGAAGAATTCTCAGAATTCCTAGGACTGAGGTTGGTTGATTGGCTTAGTCTGGGTCATGAACAACTATCCTCTAACCCTCCTGAACTATAACCATGGCCAGAGGAATGTGGGCTTTCTCACTGACAAGGTGTGGGACATGGCCCAAGAGGGCAAGTTCATCTCCACCCCAACCACATGGAGGAATGGCTCCTGTAGCAGATGCTGTCAGTGCCCCATGCTTATCCCCTTGGTTCTTACTGTTTCAGTGGATGCTGGCTTAATTTTCTAACGTTAACACCCAGGCAAATGTCTTTGCCTGAGGGCTTTCTCTCACCACCAGAGCCCACCGTGAACACATTCAAGAAAGGCCAGAAGTGCCAGGGAGTTAACACCTCATAGGAGCAGTTCTCAGCCAATGGCTGATGGAGTTGGAAGATAAATACCCCCCCCCAATTAATTTTCCTTCCTTCCTTCCTTCCTTCCTTCCTTCCTTCCTTCCTTCCTTCCTTCCTTCCTTCCTTCCTTCCTTCCCCTTCCTTCCTTCCTTCCTTCCTTCCTTCCTTCCTTCCTTCCTTCCTTCCTTCCTTCCTTCCTTCCTTCCTTCCTTCCTTCCTTCCTTCCTTCCTTCTTCCTTCCTTCCACAGAGTTTTGCTCTTCTTGCCCAGGCTGAAGTGCAATAGTGCAATCTTGGCTCACCGCAGCTTCCACCTCCTGGGTTCAAGTGATTCTCCTACCTCAACCTCCCGAGTAGCTGGGATTACAGGCATGCACCACCATGCCTAACTAATTTTCTATTTTTAGTAGAGACAGGGTTTCACCATGTTAGTCAGGCTGGTCTCGAATTCCCAACCTCAGGTGATCCACCAATCTCGGCCTCCCAAAGTGCTGGGATTACAGGCATGAGCCACCGTGCCCAGCCCAAATACCCCAATTTTCTTGTTTTGGGTGAGATGACTCTGTGGTTCATGTTCTACAGTGTTTCTCAGAGTTCCTCAGTAGGATTAAGTTCCAGCTGCTCAGTGTGGTCACTTGAATGATGACACACTCTGCCTTGACTTCCTTCTTCATCTCACTCTCCTGCTTCCCCACTGGTATTTCCTCCCAGATAAACTACTCACACTTGAATCTGTCTAAAGGTCTGCTTTTGGGGAATCCAACTTATTCCATATTTCCCAATGGAAGACCATGTGCTGTTGCCAGGATAAGGGAAAATGGATACTGGGTAGGTAAAAGCAATGGATATCAGCTTCTCTTGATTAACAGATTAGGGATTTTTAGTTTTTCTTTTTTTTCCTAGGACTATATTTGTCTGCCTCTTCCTAGAAATAGGCAGTGAGTCCATTGATGGGAAGGCCACAGCTTCTTCACTGTAGCGGTCCCAGACTTGGTGCATAGCAGATGCTAAAATAGTATTTGTTGTACTGAATTGAATTTTATAGGCAATGAAGAATCATTAAAGAATTTTGGGAACTCAGAACTGGAAGAATGTGTTTTGTTTGTTCACTAAGATTCCATAACCTGGTGGCAGTGTGGAGGATACACTGGGGAAAAGGAAGATGGAGAGACTCATTCAGAGGCAATCAGAGTAGTTTGGGCTTGAGGTGATCAGAGTCGGGACCAGGTAGTGGATCCAGTAGGGTGAAGGAAAGGTCAGAGGGGTGAGGCTGTGTATAGGTGGAACATGGGCAGAAGATGAGACCTTGCCTTGGCAAGAATGATAATTTCTTCAGGAGTTGCTCATCTGGCCAGGACATAGCATAGTTGCCCAGTTTCCTATTGTTAGGGGATTTATAGAATTTATACCATAGTTCTTCTGAGGAGTGTGTATGTGTATGTTGGTGGGCACTGGTAGCTGGAAAGGGAGTTATCTAAAGGCAAAAATTGATTAAAGTGTCTTCCTTCCTTCCCTTTCTCACTTCCTCCCTTCCTCCCTCCCTTCCTTCCTTTGTTCTTTTCTTTTTCAAGGTTTTGCTCTGTTGCTCAGACTAGAATGCAGTGACGTGTTCATGGCTCACTGCAGCCTCAACCTCCTGGGCTCAAGTGATCCTTACACCTTAGTCTCCCAAGGACGTGGGACTACAGGCATGTACCATTATGCCTTGTTAACTTTTAATTTTTTTGTAGAGACAGGGTCTCACTATGCTGCCAAGGTGGCCAATTTCTTATAATAAGTCTCTTCTCTTTATAGCTACATTCTATTGGTTCCGTTTCTCTGGAGAATCCTAACACATGCCTCATGGGTCCATGCTTCAGAGAATGAGATTAGATGATAGTTGTTCTTAGCCAATAACTGGGAAAACCCTTAACCAGAGGCATGGGATAATTGGTGTAGGGAGAGAACTTTTGGATGTGTCAAGATTCCAAATCAGGTACATGTTCAGGGGAGAATGAGGAGAAGTACAGATTGATTTAGAGCTATGAAATGTTTATACAATTGCTTGGAGAGGTTGTGTGTATGTTATTATTATTAATTTAGTTTTTGAATTTTTTGTAGAGACAGGGTCTTGCTGTGTTGCCCAGGCTGATTTCAAACTCCTGGCCTCAAGTGATTCTCCTGCTTTAGCTTCCCAAAGTGCTGGGATTACAGGCATGAGCCACCACAGCTGGCCTCTGTATATTTTAAAGCCTGTACTCCACAAATATCTGCTATGGTTTGAATGTATCCCCCAAAGCTTATGTGTTGGAAACTTAATCCCCAATGCAACACTGTTGGGAGGCTAATAGGAGGTGATTAGGTTATGAGGGCTCTGCCCTCATGAATGGATTAGTGCCTTGTCCTAGGTGTGGATTAGTTGTCATACAGGTAGGTTTCTGATAAAAGGATAAGTTTGCTCCCTCCTCCTCTCTATGTTGCATGCTCACTTGTTCTTCCACCTTCTGCCATAGGATGATGCGGCCTGAAGGTCCTTGCAGGGAGCCAGCACCATGCTCATGGACTTCCCAGTCTCCAGAACCATAAGCCAAATAAGCTTCTGTTGTTTATACATTACCAAGTCTGTGATATTCTGTTATAACATCAGAAAATGGACTAACATAAACTACCTGTCAGATTACATTAAGGGATTCAAAATGGGTTTCTGTATTCTTTGGGAGATGTAAGAAAGAGTTTCAAAATTTCCTAAACTAGCCCCCAGTACGCAAGGGACCCTCTTTAATGCTGGGACTGAGTATAACCAGAGTTTCAGCTTTTCTCCTTCTGAAGAGCCTGAAGTCCTCTGAAATTCTGCTGGATCTTGTTGGGATTGTTTTTAGAGACTTTCACAGATGAACAGCAGTGTCACCTCATCTCCTATCCTGGAGTTGACCCTGACCCCTGACAGCAGCAGCCTCTTGTCAGTTCTTGTGATGCTTGGAGATGACCTCTCAGAGCGCTGGTTGGACAGGAGGTGGATGGATTTGTTTAGGCCAGGTGTGGAGGTGGGTTGGAATAGGCAATTTTGGTCTGTCTGTGTGCTCCCTCCCATGCAGCCTTGACTCAGAGGTGGTTTGGCATCATATCAGTAAGAGGCTTTGGCTATAAGGCAAAAGGGAAATTATAGGAAGGCCATCAGAGGTTCACAGAGTTGATGGGGGTTAGAGAAGCAGGCTTGGAAAGTGGCCATGAGTGAGGTGCAAAGCAAAAAGACCTTTTAACTGGGTCAGCCTGACCCCAAATTGCTTCCCCTGCTCCAGGCTCCCAGCACACTGTCACCACTGCCATCAGACTTCCCACCTCTTCCCCAAATGCCCCTGAACTGGCCCTTTGCTTGGGTCACTCATTCCAGTCTTAATAATCCCTGGTAGGAATGGCTGATTGGCTGAGCCTAGGTCACATGCCCAGGCCTGCTTGGCATGGGGGAGGCCAGAAAGAGAATCTCCTCATTTCCATTTCTGGAGGTGGCTGGAGATGGGGAGGGACTGCATTTCTCCATACCACACAATGGGGAGTTGTCCTAGATGATAGAGGGAGTTAATGCTGGACAATCAAAAACTCCTGATGGATTTCTACTTGAAGAGCATCTGGGGCATGTTTGAGGTTGTACACACAGCAGACTCTACCCACTTCTTCATTTGTGGTGCCTGGTTGGAGAGTGAGGAAACCAGGCACCACCATTGTATATCCTCAGACCTCATCATGGAGCACCTGATGGTTCTGGAGATAAACACCTGCTTTCTGAGCCTCTTGGTAGCTGCCCTGGGGCTGCTGGGGGGCTGGAGCAGATCCACAGCCAGACACTTTACCAGGCAACTGGAAGAGAGGCTAAAAACATGGAGATGCCAGCCTGCCCCACGTGTCAGTCTGGGAGGAGCATGGCAGAGGTTAATTCCAAGAGTTAACTGGCAAAGGAAGAGGCATGATTACTTGTACTGGGGAGCCAAGACCATGCCCTGGATGATACTCCCTGTTCCCCAATAACAAGCAATTAACATTTGTGTGAGGTTCTTATTTCTTAGGCATCTTCCTATATATTTGACAAAAACAAACAAACAAACAAACAAAAAACAGTATTATTTGTTTGTTAGTTTGTTTTTTGTTTTTAGGTGGAGTCTCACTCTGTCACCCAGGCTGAAGTGCAGTGGCCCTATATCAGCTTATAGCCACCTCCATCTCCCCAGTTCAAGTGATTCTCCTGCCTCAGCCTCCTGAGTAGTTGGGATTACAGGCACTCGCCACCACGCCCAGGTAATTTTTATATTTTTAGTAGAGACAGAGTTTTACCATGTTGGCCAGGGTGGTCGCAAACTCCTGACCTCCAGTGATACTTCCGCCTTGGACTCCCAAAGTGCTGAGATTACAGGTGTAAGCGATGGCACCTAATTAAGAAAAGGGTTTTAAATGGTGAGATAGAAATATAGTAAATGTTTTCCTTAGGTTTGAATGAGGTCATACAAGATGGGATCTTCTTGAGGGCAGGGACCACCTTTTACTTGCCTTTGCATCTCTAGTATATATCATAATAACTGGTATATGCTAAGTGCTCTGTAACTGTTTATTGGATGAATGAAGACTAGCAATTATCTGAGAATAAATGTCATTAAGCTGATTCGTAGGGGCAGGTTGAGCAGTTGT